ACTGGAAATCAATAATAATTAACAATCCCTACAGAACAAGGCAAAAGCCTTCAAAACATCCCCTGGCAAAAAGGTCCACACACTGACTTGTACACTATGAAACAGTACTTACTGTGTCTTAAACCTGCTGGCTATTCGTTTCATCCAGTGAGCCCTGGTTCTTGTGTTGCACGGAATAAATACTTCCTTATTCACTTTTTCTACACTATTCATGATTTTTTTAGCTCTCTGTCACATTCCTTCCTCCCCCCAAGTCATCTCTTTTTTAAGATAAGTAGTCCCAGTCTTTTTAATCTGTCCTCATATGGAAACTGTTCCATACTCCTCATCATTTTTTTTGTTCTTCTTGATAACTGGTTAAAAATTTGATTTATCAGCCAGTTTTTTTCTGGTTCACCACTAAAAACTGTTTTAAAAATCAGCATTACATTAGACATCCCCTAGGCCTGTGGTACAGAAGCTGATTTAAGTGATAGATATTAAATTACATGAGTTTTGTAAACTGAGTTCCTTCAGAACTCGAGTTGATATAAGAGAGTTACTGACCCTGTGTAGTAACGTCTGTTCTTCGAGATGTGCCCCCCCGGGGGTGCTCCACTCGAGGTGCTGGGCTCGTCCCGGCGCCACAAACCGGAGGAATTTTCATTAGCAGTAGCCCCCTACCGGACCGCGCATGCGCGACTGCCCCTTCGCGCCTTTGATCTGAGCGCGGTCCGGTCTTGTCAGTTTCTCTCCAACCGTCCGCAGCCGCAGACGGAGTTAGATTAAGCTCCCTTCCCCCTCTGAGGGAAAAGGGAAATCTCTTAGTTAGTTAGTTTTCTTGTTTAGTCATAGATAGTTACCAGTTATAGTGTTAGTAGTTGTAGTCCCCTGTTTAAAAAAAACAAAAAAACAAAAAAACCACCGCTTTTCCTTCAGCGGTCAGTCAGTGCCTTCCTGACTGAAATTGACAAAGAAATAAATCAGAAAGGGAGGCAGGATGCCAGGATCACCTGGCTTCAAGAAGTGCCTTCAGTGCCAGGAGGCTATCCCTGTCTCCGATGGACACTCCCGGTGTGTAAGGTGTCTCAACTCTTGAGTTGATATCATCTGGTCCTGCTAACTAATTAATGTTTAATATACCAACTGATTCCAAAACCTCTTCTAACACACCTCAATTTGGATAGTTCCTCAGAACTACTTAAAAAGAACGGCTCAAGTATCTCTCAACCTCTGCAGGGAAGACCAATGCAATTAATTCATTTAGCAGTTTTGTCTTCTTTGAGTGCTCCTTTACCACCATGGTCACCCAAGTGTCCAAATGACTGTTTGACAGGCTTCCTGCTTTTGATGTATTTAAAAATGTGGCTGGTCATCTGTGTATCTTACTAGTTGCTCTTCAGGCCTTTTTGGCCAAATTCTAGATTTATTCTTGACACTGCATTTTCCTGAGGGTTTGACTTCCAACATGTAAAGGGTTTCTTTTTTACTCTAACTGCCTCCTTTATTCTGTTTAACAATGGTGGCTCTTTTTTTGGTCATTTTACCGTATTGTTTTGTTTTTATTTGGGGTATACATTTAGTTTGCATATATTATAATAGCCTCCCTGCAGCTTGCAGGCATTTCACTTGTCACTTTCTTTGAACTTCTATTTTAAAAAAGTGAAAGAAAAGGAAAAGAAAGGAGTCTTAGCAAGTACTGCCTGATCCTGCAGCTGCCGCATGGGCACTGTAGATGCAAGGCAGATGAGGAACTGACTACACAAAATAAAATAATACAAGTTACAGTATTAAAAACTGTTGCACAACACAGTCATGGAAAAGAGTGAAAGAAAAACCATAAGGCCCAATGACAGACTATAGAAATATCTACAAACGCAACCTTATGAAACTACATTGTGTAAAAACTAAACAGCAGCTTTTCCCAGTAAAAAGAAGCCTGTTTTTTAACTTCTCCATTAAATAGCTAACTGGGCCTACAGCTAATTACAAACCTTTTTTATTTTCTTTTAAACTAAGGAAGCTTGATTATAGGACAGCCACACAGACTTGGAAGTGCATGTGATAGGACCTCAGCACCAAAACAAACAAAAGGCATTAACTGAAAGCTGGATTCCACATGCCCTTTACCTTTGTAGCCATCTCTCAATTGCCTCAAATCCCTGGCCTAAGATGTCAAAGGAAAAATGGATTTCAAAATCTCCCTCCACTCCTGCGCACGCCTCCTCCAAGCAGCTCTCCTATGTTACAAATGTCTAATCCAGAATCTTTACATGGACTTGGAAGTAGATTCCACATCAGGAAAGACATGGAGAAACGGGAGAGGTCCAGAGAAGAGCAACAACAACTGAAGGTCGAGAGAACATGCCCTATGATGGGCTTGTTTAGATTATCTCTCTCAGGGCTGGTCTAGATCAGGGTCCACTCACCCACAGAACAGTCAGTTGGGGGCCACATGCATGAGGGAAGCAAAAAACCAAACCAAACCAAACCCTCACTGGCCTGGCCCCCAAATGAGAGGCAGGGGAAAGACACTCGCCTCACTCTCCTCAAGCTCCAGCCCCAGGGAGAAGTGGAGGAGGAGCCAGACTCCCCCACAGGGCCAAATTAACTCTTCTGACGTCTGGGGACCTCGTAGATTTTGTGGTTCCCCCCCACGGCTCTCGGAGGGAGCCAAAAGGAGGGGTTCGGTGCACGGGGGGGCTGCTGGGGAACAAGCGGGGGTACAGTTGTGGGGTCTGATGGGAGATGGGGTTTAGGAGAGGGCGAGGGATGTTAAATGGTAAACCGGCAAGCGTGAGGCTTACAGGTATGTTTACTGGCTCCCCAGCACTTGCCAGTGAATTCTGGTGATGACCATCCACACCACTCAGGAGCAGCCCTGGCCACGGAGGGGAAGAGGGATCCCACGGCTGCGGCAGGGACAGGAACCTGTGGCAGGCCCGAAGTTAACACGGTTAACCGGGTAAGAGCTAGCATTTTGTTTTAACTTCCCTACCGTGGCTGGGGGGCTGGGAGGAGGAGGGTACAGGAGCGGGCGGGGGGCAGGACTGGGCCATGGATGCAGGGTCTGAGCGGGAGTGGGGGTGCAGGACAGAGCAGGGGATTGGGGTGCCTATCCGGTGCTGGACCCAAGGGGCAGAGGCAGCTCTGCATGCTGCAGGGAAGCGCTCCACACAGGCACTGCCCCTGCCACTCCCACTGCCCGGGACCCAAGGAGAGTGGGAAGGGGAAGTGTCTGTATGCAGCACTTCCCTACTTCCTCCCCCTTCCCACCAGGCAGAGCCCACGGGCCTGACGTGGCCAGAGCTTGCCTCGATTAGGCCCACCAGGCTCGTGGCCCTGGAGTGCAAGTGCCAGTGCTCCACTGTGGGGTGGGGAGAGCCTCAAGCCGCATGCTAAATCCAGCACACAGGCCACGGGTTCCCCATCCCTGGTCTAGATGGTGCCTGGTCCTGCCCTGAACACAGACGACTGGACTTGCCGATCTCTCAAGTTTCCTTCCAGTTCTATGATCACCAATGCGATTTCCATAGGGCCAGCAACAGTGGATGTCCACTGCCCTGTATGAGACACATGGAAGCGCTGCTGGTCTGCATGATCAAGAACCTTCAGATGTGGACTAGAGGTAATCTCCCCACCTCCATTATACCAGTTGAGATTCCTGTGATGATTCAGCTTCAGAAGTAAGAGTCTCTTCCAGTGCCAAAAGGTGCGATATAGGTCCAATATATGCCATTATACATTGAAAATATTTGTTTTTGTTTATGATGCATTAGCTCTTACAAAAAAGTTTTTTTTAGCATGCTGGGTTTTGTTATACATTCCAGAGCCAACAATAATTAAATGACCAAATAGAGAAGGTAAAGGGACTCTTACAGAAAGACATTTCTAAACTAAGAAATGCACCTTTACAGAAATGTAAGACCCTGCCATTCACAGTTCTGCAGTAGACAGACACCATTAAACATGGTTCTTTATCCCATAAGGTAGAATACATATTTGGATAACGCATGCAATTTGTAATTAGTATTCAAGTTCAGGATCTTCCAACTACATTTTGAAAGAAGTTGAGGTTATTATTTGTCACAGCAAACAAAGCTTAACACTTTAGTCAACTAACCAACCCCTAACAATAAGAATGACATAAGAGTTTAATGAATACATGGAAATTTTACAAGTACACCAGCTAAGTTTTAACAAAGCCCTCTGCTCAATACCCATTTTATCACTTCCCATCTTGGACTTTCTCTTATAATGCAGGCTTTTGTTTCTGTGCTTATGCTTAAGGAAGACCATTGTATCCAACATACACCAAACCAAAACTATGTTTACATTCATAAAGTGTATTCTTTATATAATTATTCTTGTCTGTAGGCTGCAATAGAAATTGCAATATTTACAGTAAAATACACACTACATTCAAGAAAGAGTTTTATGTAACATCCAAAACCATACACATCATTATAATTGAACAAAGGTTTATAATTAATGTTGTTCTGAAAAACCCATTACTAGTGTACCTTCAGATTCAAATAATTTTACTAGATAACTGGTTAACATTTTCTAGAAAAGTAGCTTGGGAAAAACAAAGTTTTATCAATATCAGCTGGTGAAGCATCTATCACCTGCACTTCTTGACCTCTCATAGTTTTTCTATTTTAAATTGCAGACAGTCACATATTAATTAATGGAGCTCTGTGGTTAAGAAACCCAACACTCAAGGCTAAAGAATGCCTGAAGTTAGACTGTCTGAAACGCTTAGACATACATAGCCAATATCTGTGGCAGGGTGGGCCCGGCCCGGAGAGAGTGACCCCCTGCCCACAGCACAATGGGCCCGGCCTGGCTGGAGAGGCCCTTTGCCCATGTCGGCAGGGGGGCTTTTCCAGTCTAGCCGGGCCGCTGGTTAACCGCTTACCCCATAACCCTTTTCTATTCCTATACTGGAACAACTGCCATTTGAGGAAAACTCTCTCTCACCACTGAAGTTGGCCTGGTAAAGGTATTACCTCACCCACCATGTCTCTCTAATGTTCCAGGACCCACGCAGCATAGACACAGTCTCTTCTATTTCTCTCTTTCCTATTACAGGACTAGCTGCCGTCAGAGGAAAAGCATGGCAGAGTCAGTGTCATGGGGTCAAATGGTTACCTTTGGAATCGGAGTGAGATTTCTTAACTCTGCAGTAAAGACCCTTTTTCCTTTAACTCTCCTCGGGCTATTTAAAACAAAACACGCATACGCACACTCCCCAGAAATCCCCCCCCCCTTTTTTTGTAATGTGTGGAATGCAGGAGCGCTGCTTGCTTTGCCAGCACAACTTTTACATTTCTTGAATCGCAACTGCGCAGTTAACAATTTTAACAGCTACCTTTGTTAACTGACTAAATCAGCAGAGGGGTGTCCAGTTTTATCTTCTCTTCTAATGCACATGTGAACTTGCCATCTTCCTATGGTCATCTGTTTAAAACTACAGAGCTGGGTTTGTACCAATCTGACTTGTTTTAAAGTAAAAAAAATTAAAACAAAATAAACCAAGTATTAAATTTGTAGCTTCAGTATTAAATTTGGACGAGTCATCTACCTTAGCGCGAAACGTAGTAAAAGCCGCAAGGTGAACCTTACCGGGGCTCATTGCGAGGACCACTAGTTTAAGGTGCAGAAGATAGTCGAGGATGGTAGGTAAGGAGGATGTTGAAGGAACCGGCTGGTGACAAGCACACAACATTGAGAATCTTTTCCATTTCTGAAGGTAAGTTTTGCAGGTACTCTGTGCCCAACTGCATATAAAGACCGTTTGTACTTGCTGTGAGCATGTCGATTATAGGTCAGCGAACCAGCCAGGAGCCATGCCTTCAGGTGCAGTGAGTGGAGAGTTGATGGCCGTCGTGAGAGCCCAGGTGAAGAAGGAGATACCTCACGCAAGGTAAGTGGATCGGTGGGGTGTGGGACGTCACCACGAGGAAGGGAAACGATCGCTGGCATGGCCATGCCGGTGCTGTAAGTATGAGATGAGCCCTGTCCCTCCTTATCTTTGAACTACTCTGTTCAATAGAGGTATAGGAGGAAATGCATTGAATAGGTGAGCTGTCTCTGCAATGAGAAAAGCATCTCCCATTGACCCTTGCCTATTCCTGCCCTGGAACAGAATAGGGGGTGCATTGGCTGTTGGTAGGGTGACCGCACAGGCGGAAGATGTCCGCCAATAGATGCGGTTTCATTTGCCACTGATGTTCGACCGGGAAGGCTCTGCTGAGTGCAGCTGCTGTTGTAGTCAGGGCGCCAGGAAGATGTACCACGGTGATAATCGTGTTTGTGTTTCAGGCACCAGTTCATAAGTAAGTGCTATGACCTCTGTGCAAAGTGCTCAAGATCAGGCTCCGCCCTGACGATTTACGTAAAACATTGCTGCGACATTGTCTATGTACAGTCTGATGTGTCTGTTGGCGATGAATGGGAGGAATTTGATACATGCATTCCTGGCTGTTGGAGTTCTAGGACGTTTATGTGAAAGTTCTTGTCGGTGCAGGACCGCAGGCCCGGGCAGGTGTGATGTCGGAAGTGAGAGGCCCATCCTGTACGAGATGCATCTGTCGTCATGGAGACGGATGCTTCTGGTGGATGGAAAGGGACTCTGGAAGCAAGGTTCCATGGGCTTAGCGTCAGGATTTCTTTGCTATCTCTGGAAGGGCTAGAGATTCGGGTAGTAGATGGAGATTGGGTTTGTATACCTGTCCCAGCCAGTCTGTAAACATCTCATGCACAGATGCGCATTGCTGACTACTAAGTTGCACGCTGCCATGTGCCCTACCAGCCGAAGGCATTCGAGTGCTGCTGAGCGGGGCTGGATTGTAAGGAATTTACCAAGGCCACAATTTTTTAGAAATGGTCTGTAGGCAGGGAAGGGGTGGCTGTTGTCAAATTGAGGCATGCTCCGATAACCTGTATGTTTTGTGTAGGACAGAGCATCGATTTGGTTTCATTCACCTGAAGGCCAAGTTTTCAGAACTGGACACAATAC